ACCCACAGTATCTCCACAAGCAGCATGTCTCTTCAGTCATAGTGAAAGTAGCTTGGTCACATGGATGGGAAACTTGGTGGCACACTAGTCTAGGTGTCTCTGTGCCCTGGGGTGCCACTGCACAGCTGGCGCCCATTCTTGGGATCCATCGATTGGGCAAAGAGGTAAAAAAGGGCACTTCAGCTTCAGATGGAAGGCTGAGGTGGACTTCCCAGCCATAACTGCCAGTGACCTATAGCACAAATGGAAGTGAGGACATAAGCTCCTGCCTTGCATTTTATCACCAGAGAGAAGCACTGCCAGCCAAGAAGTATTTCCTAGCATCCACTCTGTACCTGGAGCCTGGGTTAATGTTTTGTAAGTAGTTGTCTGCACCCATGTGCCTGGCATAGTCCTCACAAAGCAGCAACCCGTTGGAGGTGAGAGAAGCAGGGAGAGGTCTGACCCAAGCTGCCAGTGACGTCACTCAGGGAAGGCACATTGCACCTGTTCTCCCTATTCCAAGGGAGTAGTTTCCCAGTGGCTTTCATAAATTTCAATGAGTTATTTACTCGTTAAACAAATATTCACAGAACACCTCTGTGTGCTTGGTGCTGGAGAGACCAGGTGAATAAGGCAGATGAGGTTCCTGCCCTTGTGGACTAGCATTCTAGTGGAGAACAGTGGACCATACACCAACAGACAAGTGCATAATCAGGACAGCTTCAGACAGCGGTGAGTGCCAGGGAGTAGGATGCTACAGGATAAGGAGTGACCCGAATGTGGGGGGCAGAATGTGTGCCAGGCTGAGTCAAAGACAGGCAGCTACTGATGTACAATGAGGTTAAGGTTGTTTCCAACAAATAGGAGGAGGAATGTGCAAGATCAGGATGCTGGCAGGTGGGTGTAGCTCTGAGAAGTTCCTCCCGGTCCATAGGGAAAATGGCAACTTCAGTGCTCAGGACAGTGAGCCATCTGTTAATCCAAGGAGCCTCATATGCCTTTTGTTGTGACTGGAGAGCTACCTGTTAGCACAGAGCCTCCTTTAGTGCTGCAGCTCTGTTCTTCCATGGTCTCTTCCCACACCTTGTGGGCTTTACAGGCCTGACCAGGTGCCACAGCTGCAGCCCTGTCTGGGACTCCCAGATGAGTTCTCAGTGGACTGCCGTTGCTTCCTCATGGTGCTCGGCAGAGGCTACCTGTGAAACAGGCCATGCTTCTCTTCACTCCATCACTTCAGACCCTTAACCCTGAGATGTGAGGCACACAGGGCCTTGGGGAGCCGTGGAAGAGAAAATGGTCAATTCTGCGCCTCAGAGCTTGGCAATCCACAGGAACCCCATGCACAGAAACATTGCTCACAGGGTACCTTCAGGACCATTCTTCCCTAAAGGACACCTTAGTTCTGTTCATTTACAGACGGAGGCAGCTCTGTCTAGGTCTGTGTTTACCTGTTTGCTAGTGATGGGCAGGTCTACCTCAGCCCGCTCCTCTGACCTGATGTGTCCTCTCCCGGCCTGGGCTGGAGCTCTCGTCTCTAGGAGCAGGAAGGATCTGGATGCTGTGGGAATTGGCCCTCTGTTTTCACTGACTCCCATATTTCCCTGGTCCACTGAAGCCCTGGTTGCTGTGATGCTCTGCCCCTGTAGTAGGGCTTGCCTTGGTGTCCAGCTTTCCCCCCAATTCAGGGCAGCATGGCCACTCCAGAGAGGGTCTGAGTCCGTATGATCTCCCATGACCCATGACCCTTCTTTTGGTAGATTCATGTGTGCTTTTGCTTAACACCTTCCCAGAGGTTCAAGTAGTTCAGAAATAAGCCTTCTTCAGATTGGGCCGCTGCTTCTTAGAAAGCTGGGGCAGTGAAAAGAAAAAGAAGAAGCCTGCCTAGTGCTCACCCCTCCAAGTAGGTTGTGTCAGGGTCAGACCCTCAGGACATTCTTGCCCATTTCCCTCCCAGTACATAATGTGCGGAGCCCCAGGGCTCTTTTGACAGCATGTGCACATAGCTGTGCAGCGAAGACCCTGGCCTTTCTCTTCTTTCAGTAACTGTCCTTCTTTCTATTGAGCTGTTGTTGGCTTTTATTTCCATGAGCTCCAAAAAGTTTTGCAAATGACCACTTTCTCTGCCAACTCTCCAAGAAGTTCTTCAACTGTTGAAAGACAATAAAGATAAAATGTGTCAGAAGATTAAAGGAAACATACACTTTTTTAAATTAGAAAATTAAAACAAGAAAAGATAAGAGGCGAAAAGATAAATGGATTATAGTTAACAGTGGGGAGACAGAAATGTAGGTGAAGAATTGAAGTGTGGAGAACTCTTATGAGTGAAGTTATGGTCAAAAGATAAAATTAAGGAGTGGGAAAGGTTTGAAAGAGCTAGTATTTAAGATTTTTAACAAAGTCATAAAGATTCAAGAAAAATAGCATGTTAAACTCAGTATTTTAAGATTAAAAATCTAAACAAATGTAAACAATGTGTAAGGTTATCTTGCTCTTTCTTGTTGGGGATGTACTTGTATGCATTTTGGAAAGATGTCTAAGAACTAAGGTTTAGGCAGAAAAGAAAGCCACAGAACATTGGATGGTCCAAGCATATATATTACATAGAAAGGAGTGATAGAAAACCAAACTAACCAGAGGAAAAAGGGAGTGGAGTTTGGGGTTGTCACCAATACATAGGTCTCCTCAGGTCCCTTTACCTCTCCTATGCTCAGAGGTAAAGGAACTTTGTGCACCTCCAGCACCCATAGGCAGCTCTTCTTAAGTGCCTTCCCTTGAACCCGTGCAGCTGCCTTGCGTACCTATGCAGAGAGCCCCAAGTGCCTGGTGCTACTCTCACCCTACCCCAAGGGTGACACTGGCAGAACAGTTTCGAGTGATCAGTGCCTATCTCTTGATACCCAGCAGTATGGAGTCACTTCCTTTGGCGTCCAGCCCTGGGCAGGTGGCAGTGCCCTGTGTAGACCCTTCCTCAGATAATACTGCTCTGGACTACTAGGCCTCTGACTTCTGCCTTAACATTATGAAGAGCACCTCTTGACCAAATGTCATCTAAGATTGCTTTTTTTAAAAAAAAATATTTTAGTTGGACACAATATCTTTATTTTATTTATCTTTATGCAGTGCTAAGGATCAAACCCAGGGCCTCACATGTGCTAGGCAAGCACTCTACCACCGAGCCATAATCCCAGCCCCTAAGATTGCTTTTTACTTTTCCATTTCCAAGTAGCTGGATTTTGTGGCTCCTTTGTCTGTCACTTGAGGTAGAGGTGAGTGAAGATGCTGCCAGATGGCTCAGAACACCACTCCAGTCAAGAGGAGTAGGGATGCCTGTGTTTCCTACACACCACCCGCTCTATGTTAGAACTGCCTTTCCCACCTTCCTCCATGTGCCACCAGAGAAAGGGCAGGCACATCTCAGAGTACATTTCTCAGGTTATCCCATGAGCAACCTATTTGTTAATTCCACAGCATTGACTCTTTACATACTAGATGTTATTACTCTTAAAATATGTGATTTATTTCCTTTTTGGCTCCAGTGTTGCCAGTCTAAGCCTTTATATGATTGTTCTTGGACATTTTAAACTGGAAATTTAATAAACCAAGTAGTACTGGAACTATCCCAGTGATGGTTGAGAGACCCACATTGTTCTCTTAAAGCATCTTAGACATAACTTCCTATACTAAACCAATATTGCCTTTTTTTTCTAAATAAGTTTGTGATTGTTTAAATACTCACTCTGAACTATATTAGTCCACTTTTTTTTTTAAAGAGAGAGAGAATTTTTTTTAATATTTATTTTTTAGTTTTCGGTGGACACAACATCTTTGTTTGTATGTAGTGCTGACTGGGGATGGAATCCAGGCCGCATGCATGCCAGGAAAGCACGCTAGTGCTTGAGCCACATCCCCAGCCCCCAAGTCCACTTTTCCTTACTATAACAAAATACCTGAGACTGGGTAACTGTATAAAAGAAGAGGATTTCTGCCACGCAACCAGTGCTGGCTTCATGAAAGAAGGTTCGGTTCATAACTAATTGCCAAGGAGTTTTAAATTAAAGAGACAAGACTCTCATTACCTTTAATACCAGCTCCGAGATGGCTTCTAGCTCCCACCTCCAGCCACCTAATGCGGTGGCGAGGTTTACAGAAGAGACTAGTGAGAAAGAGAGAACACGCCAGGGAGTGGGCTTTTATTGGGGAACAAAAAAATTCCAGGGAAAATCCCATCCAATGAAGGTTAAGAGGGGCAGCATCCCAAGGTCAGGGGCAACAACTGGGTCTTCAGGGCAGTGGCCAGGCACGCCTCTGCATGGACAAGCCCTCGGACCTGGGAAAGGGTGGGGAAGGCTCTAACACAGCTGTGTCTAAGCGCCTCTCACCCAGCCAGGGAGGTTACTCAAATCACGTGCGTGGATGGCCTCCCACAAGGATTATTTTGATTTATAGTTCTTATCAAAGGGTGAGGACCATTTCTGATGATGGCCAACTTGTTGGGATTGTCCCAAGGTGGTACAAGATGTCACATGGCAAAAGATAGGGAGTGTACATGTGTGTCTGTGCCTCCTCTGGTCTTTCTGTCTTTTTACAAAGCCATCAGGATTTAATCATGGGGGCCCCTCCTAGATGACCTTTTCTAATCCTAATCACCTCCAAAGGCCCCACCCCTAAAATAGCAGAATAAATCTCCATCCTCTGATTCCTCACAGTAGGGACTCAATTTCAACACATGAACCCTTGGAGGACATAGAATATCAAAACCAGAGCAAGATTCCTCTGACTTGACATTGTAGGCAACATAACTTATTGTTCAGGGATGAGATAAGATTTGGACTGTTCTGGGCAGCACCCCTAGCCCCACGGTCCCTGAGCACCACTCTGCTGTAAGGTCCTGGGCATGCTTGGCATCCCCCTGCTCCTGGCTTATGAACAGCTGTTCTGGGAGGAAGAAGACAGGGCAGGCTTTGGTGGGCCTGTGTTCTTGTGTTTCTCAGAGCCTTTCCCAACTTCTTCTGCTTCAGCACAGCAACGCAGTCTCCCGGCCCACTGATGGAGCCACTGACCAAGGGGTCATGTGGGAGTCAGATGGCACAGACCCTCCTCTGGAAAGCAAAGTCGTCTCTCTCCTTTGGCATCCAATCCCTTCAGACATGGCCAACGAAAGACCCTGAGCTAGAGTCCCAGGTCAACCTGTAAGTAAGTAAAAAAAGCAGGTCTCAGTTTGGGGCCACACTCGTTTTAACATGAAATCCCTTAGTGCATAGGAGGAATATCTTTCAGGGGAGAGTGGGAAGGAAAGGGGTGTGGGTGTGATCTTGGAGACTGTATTTCTATTTTCCTTTTTTGGGTACTGGGGATTGAACTTTGGGTCACTCGACCACCGAGCCATATCCCTAGCCCTATTTTGTATTTTATTTAGAGATAGGGTCTCACTGAGTTGCTTAGTGCCTCACAGTTGCTGAGACTGGCTTTGAACTTGCAGTCCTCCTGCCTCAGCCTCCCAAGCCCCTGGGATTACAGGCTTACGCCACTGAGCCTGGCATTGCATTTCTATTTTTGATGATGTCTTATTTATCTATTTATTTAACAATATTCATTGAGCACCTCTAGCAAGCCCCATACCAATAGAATATGGAAGAAAAGAATTCTAATATAATACAGAAAAAAAATAAGAATAATTGTATAAATGATATGTTAAGTCCATTAGGGTGGTACTGTGTTTTCCTGTATATTCCTGAACCACAACAGGCCTTTGCTAGAATATGTGATATTTGTTGGATGAATGAATAAGTACATGGATATAGAAAATCCTATAGGACAGAAGTGTTTAGATCTCCAGGGAAATCAAAGGCAACTAGCTAGCATATATGATTGATTTCAAAACAAAGGAAATGCTTCATCTATTCAATGCAACAAATATTTATCTATGCCTACTGTGTCCAGTGCTTTTGTGAAATCAATTCCTGGCTGGGGATATGGATCAAAATCACCTGTGAGGCCTGGGGATGTGTAGAGCACTTGCCTAGCTCCTGTTAGGCACTGTGTTTGATCCTCAGCACCACTTAAAAATAAACAAACAAACAAAAAAAGGTATTGTATCCATCTACAACTAAAAATATTTTTTTAAAAAAATCACCTTTGGAACCTAAGAAACAACTCTGGCCTGAGGCCCACCACCAGGGGTTCTGATTCAATGGATCTGGAGTGGGGGGAAGAGGACCTGTTCCCCAAGGAGCTCACAGAGCTCATCCAGAGAGATGGACAAGTAACCCCCATGGTGCTAGAAAAGAAGCACCTATAAAACGCTCATGGAAGAAGTAGGCTCCTGAGAAGGGGCAGCAGCTGAGCTCGGCCTTGAGGTCAAGCCCAGCCCAGGGCGGGCAGGAGATGAGGGAAAAGGCCACTGTGTACAGAGGAAAGCCCAGTGGAACCTTCATCCTTGAGAGCTGTTGATAGACGTTCTCCCAGCCATTCTCAACACATAGCAATCACCTAGGGAGAATAATGAACAGAAGTCTGCACTGTACCTCCAAAATTTTAAAGTATAGGATGGAACACAAGCACCATTATTTTTAAAAAGCTCCCCAAGTGGTTCTCATCTGTGACAAAAGTTGAGAAAGGCTGCGTTAAAACGTGACTCTCCGTAATTAAATACAAAATAATTATGAAGCCCTTAAATGCCTAGCAAAGGGATCTGAATTTCTATTGAGGCAATGGGAGCTGCAGAGGGCTTTGACGATCTTAGAGCTAATGCCCTCTGAAACGTAAAAAGTCCACTTAGGGTAGGTCAATTCGCGATCCGTGAGTCTCGTGGCTTTTCAAAGCCACTCCCCTGCCGCCCATAAATTACCTCTTAGGTGAAGTGAGAACAGACTCTCCCAGTGATTTGAAACAGAACTCTAGGAGGTCAGTTAATGTTCCATTAACGAGCAAAATGCGCCTGCCAAAGGGCTGAGCCAGAGGAGAGGAAATCCAGGCAGGGCGTGGGCTCCCACCGAGAACGCCGACCTTCCTGCCTTCCTTACACTTTGGAGGCGGGGGTTTGGGTGCCGAGCGTTGGCGGGTTGCCCGAGACCTTCCGCCTGAGCTCGGCGAGGGCTGGTCCTCACTGCGGGCCGGCCCGCTCGGCCTCCTGGGTAGACTGGGAGACTGCGAGCCCCACGGTGCACCGCGCGGGTGACGTGTGAGGGGCGGGCAGCACTCCTGGAGTCCTGGGCGGGTCCCTGGTGATTGGCGGCCTCAGGGCTGAGCCTGGGGAGCCCGAGGTGTGTGCTTTTGCTCTTTAAGCTCACCCAGCGGCACGTGAGAATGGGCGTGTTGGACTAGGCTGGGGGCACAGGCTGGAATTTGCCGGAGCCAACGTTGAGTTCTTTGGAAAACAAGCTAAAAAGGTGTTTCTTTAAGAATCTCTCATTCATTAAGTTATCCATTCAACAAATATTTATCTATCACCCATGTACAGGCATTTCCCCAAACATCCTAAATGCGTTTTCTCCTTTAGTCTTTACAAATGAAAAAACAAAACAAAACAAAAAAAAATGAGGCTGCTACTGTTATCCCCGCTGTACACTTGAGAAAGCTGAGGCAGAAAGGTTAAGAGAGTTGTCCAAGACACAGAGCAGGGATTCGAACCTAGGTTTGTCTAGCTCCAGTGCCCATCTCTCAACCCCAGAACGCTCAGGTGTGCAATCAAGGTGTTTATGGAATGTCACTGGCCACAGGGCATTTTGGTATTGTCAAGTGAAGAATCTTATAGTCCAGTGCTGTATACACCAATGAAACTGACCAAGCCAGAGCTGGGCCTTGTACCAAGTGCTGGGGATGCAAAGGGGACTTATAAAAGTGTTGTTAGCTGGGGCAGTCCAAAATTTCTCAGTGGAAAGAGCACTTGAAGTTGGGGAACTACCAGGAAGATGTGTGGGGAGACCTTTAAGCAATCTGATTTGGCAGATGCGTCTTGGGGAGTGGTGGGCAGTGAGCTTTGGTGGTTGGGTAGAGCCATGTCATTGGGAGAATGGGAACCCCTGGCCTTGACACTCTAGGCAGGGCATTGCACGATTAGAATTGCATATCGGAAAGAAAATAGTGTCAGGGGACAGCTAAATTGCATTTAGATGAGTCTGTTGGCAGTGGGGACCAATTAGAGTAGGAGATGAGAGTTCTTGTCGGGGCAGAAGGGATAAGCTGGGCTTAGGAATATTTCAGAGGAAGATTAGAATGGACTTGATAAATCTGTGTCTTGACATAAAGTAACATCTCTGCTTTAAAGGAAATGAGAATATTGTTTATTCTGAGCCAAATGTGAGTGATCATGGTCTAGGAACATGGATTTGAGTTATTCTGAATGACATGTTCCACTGTGGAAGAGGTTGCATGAACTTTTTATAGCAAGAACAAATGTAAGTCATGTGTTTACCATTTACACTGGTAGGAGCATCGGGTAGGTGAGCTGCAACGTGGCAAGGCATTCTTCTCTGTGGGTTTCAGATGTTAGAGCTTCTCCCACCCCCTATCCTGAGTACTGGGGATTATATCCAGGGTCACTCTATCACTGAGCTACATCCTCAGCCCTTTTTATTTTTTTATTTTGAGATAGGGTCTTGCTAAATTGTTAAGGCCTCACCAAGTTGCTGAGTCTATTCTTGAATTTTCTTTTTTTTTTTTTAAAGAGAGAGTGAGAGAGAGAAAGAGAGAATTTTTAATATTTATTTTTTAGTTATTGGCGGACACAACATCTTTGTTTGTATGTGGTGCTGAGAATCGAACCCGGGCCGCACGCATGCCAGGCCAGTGCGCTACCGCTTGAGCCACATCCCCAGCCCGATTCTTGAATTTTCAATCCTCCTGCCTCAGCCTTCTGAGTCATGGGATAGGTGTGTGCCACCACACCTGGCTATTTTATAGCATTTTTAGCTTTAGGGTTAGAGAAGGCTAGAGGTCTGCTAAGCTTAGCTATGCATTCTGAGAAGCTAATCTACTAGTCATAAGAATGTTGGGTCAGATAAAAAAAAAGTTAGATAAATGGCCATTAAAGGGCCTAAATGTATAAATGCTACCAAGTCAGATTGTTTTACTCTTGCTACCTGCACCTCCAACCTTGCAGCCTGCCTATCTCTCTACCTGTTGCCTCCTTGACTCCTGCTGTCCATTTTCTACCATGTCACAGGCCATATCATATGCCACAGGCATCCTGGGTGTATCTTGCCAGCTTTGTGACTCGAGGGACATCTTCCCCATCCAGGAAAAGGAGCTGAGGAAGGCCTTGAGTTGTCCATCCTGGCTTGTGGATCTCTGTCTGCTTCTTCTGGGATGTGTCCTTTATTCAGGCAGATGTGTTAGTTCTTATTGCAATGGTGAGCTACAGTAGCCATGCAAAAGAAAAGGAGTGGTCAGGAGGCAGGAGAACAGGGCTCTAGTGGGTTGTGAAAGCCAGTAAGGAGTGTCAAGGAGAAGGGGAGCAGTCTGTGGCCAGTCACAAAAATAACTTCAGAAATTTTGTCAAAAAATGGATCATGGAACCTGTTTAATTAGAGTCCCTAGTGGTGGGACTCAGGAATCTGGCTGATGGTGTCAAATGCAGCAGAAAGAAAGGTCAGGGATCAGAACTAAAAGCTGACTATAAGCTTGCTGGTCAGGAAGCCTGGGGAACTCTGAGACCCAGTGGCATGGGGCAGGCTGAGTGCAAGACCCTGAGGCATTTCTCACCTTTCCTAATGTGTAAACTTGGCTCTGGGCTATCAGTGTCCACTTGCAAGAAAAAATTTCTAGTATTGTAGCAAAGTAAACATATCAGAAAGATGGTCGTTCAGGGCCATCTGCCTTAAAAAGATGTCAGCCAGGAGAGGAAAGGACAGAAAAAAGTTTGAAAATGTTTTAATCACTTCGGAATAATCTTCTAATTCTTGTTTACATCAGCCTTGTTTACATCAGCCTTTTTTATGTTCAATTACAACATGTACAATAAAGTTCGATTTCTTAAAAATCCTATAATTCAGACTCAATTCCTGTCACTAAGCTGAATTAGTAATAGCTTATTTTTTTTTATCTTTGAGGAAAATAGTCAAGCATTCAAAAGAGTTTGTCAGAGAGCATAATAGCAGGCAATTTTTTATTTAAACCTTTTTTTCAAAAATACCTTTCAGAAACTTCGAAAGATCTCATTTGTTCCTAGTTGAAGAGCCACTTTGTTTTA